CCCCAAAACCCCAAAACCCCAAAACCCCAAAACCCCTTACTTTAGCCAAGATTGAATCCCAAATTGCTACTTAAATAATTTCTAAATTTCCCACTTGGATAAACAAACCTGGCTGTTTGTTTAGGGCCTTGGATTGGTTTTAGGGGTGGCGTTTTGGTGGATGTTCATGGAGAGGTGGACGTACTTGGAGGGGAGTGTGGAGGGGATACCAACCCAGCCTCCTCACTTAGTTCAGACCCTCTTGCGTCACTTCTCCCAAAACCTGAATTCCTGAACTGCCAACAGAGCCTAATAGAATTCTAAGAAGGAGGGATCTGGGATGGAAGAAGGGCAGTGTGAAGGAAAATTTAGGAAGTTTAGGAGCCAAAATAGGTGAAATTAAGAGGCGAGGGCATATTTGAGTGGTGAAGGGTTTCATGTGAGATTTGGGGGCATTTAGGATACTTAATTCATGGGGATTTTGATAAGGAAGATGGACAAGTTGTTGTTTCTGAGGTAAATTAGTAAAGAAATTAGATGAGAGGTGTTTATAGCTTTCATATTGAGATAAACATCTGTGCACATGAGTCTTTATTGATCTACATCCGAACCAATTCACCCAAATATTATCATTAAAATATATATTGTTAGTTATTGTTCACTTTCTTCTTCCTCCTCTTCATCTTCTTCATCCTCTTCTCCTTCTTCATACTCATCTGATGATTCCTCTCCAGCATCATCTCCAGATTCATCCGAAACAGAGGAAGCTTCTGAGTGCTCAAAGCTTGAATTTTTCTTAATATTGAGAGACTTTCCCCGAGCAGAAACAGGAACATTCTTTTGCGAAGTTTGCGGTGGTAATATGTCTTTCTTTTTCATTTTGTTAAAATTAGTGTGCCTTTCTCGATCTTTAAAAGACGGATGCAAGGTTTGAGATTTTCTATAAATATTCTTGCCAAATTCGTTCGGAACAACCGGGTTTCCATTCCTCTTAGAGTCTTCCTGGTAATTTACATTTTTGTTTGATGTGCCAATAAGAGCATGCTGAGGTTTAGGAATTCCTACTTTTGAGTTTACAGGAAGAAAGATTTTAGATGTTTTATTTGTGCAATTCCTCATTCTTTTCCTTTACAGCTTTAGGGTTCCTTGTATCCTTTATTTTTATTGATGAGCCTGATCATCCCATTTTCACTAATTTATATTTCATTATTCAATTATGTGAAATCATGAAGGGGTTTTGGGGTTTTGGGGTTTTGGGGTTTTGG